GAGTAGGCAGGATAGGACATAGGGAAGAATGAGAAGGACAGATAGGGGGCAGTACTCCACGGGGCACGCTGTGCCTTTTATTGATGTAGTGATCCTGGTCATTCCCAAAGTGCAAATTCACAATGAAAGACAATGCCACCCAATTGTGAAAGAAATGAAAGCACTTGCAAAGAGCTAGAGACCAAAGAAGAGAGAAAGAAGAAGAAGAGAGAAAGAAGAAGAAGAAGAAGAAGAAGAAGAAGAAGAAGAAGAAGAAGATGTACACAAGTGGTTAACGGGGACCCCCACTTTTCGGCCCTGGGTAACGATGAATGATCTCTCCACCTTCCTCCTCCTCCTTGACTTCGCCAATCGTATTCTTCTTCTGAATAATAATAATAACAATGAGTGGACGAGCCGGAATCAATATCCGAAGTTCCCTCTTACTACCAGCACAACAATAGGTCCACCATAGCCATGGCTTCCCCCTTCTTCCTCCTCTCACATGCCAACGCTATGGCGGACTACTAAGGGCTCTGCCCTCTTGTGCAAAGGACAACACAAAACAGCTATGTTGCTGTTCATCAGGCTGCCATGCCTGACTCTTCCTCGAGCTCCCTTGGTGCGGCACTACCCCAACTGGGGCCTTCCAGATGCAGCGCCTATCAAGGTGAGGAAGATGGTGTCCACCATAGCCAGGTAGGTACCTCACCACTCTCCTCCTTCGCCCCCCTTCTTCCTCCTCCTCAGGCTGGGCTGCTTGCCATAGCCAGGCTGAGCGCCCAGCTGCCCTCCTTCCTCCAGGCAGCGCTCCAAGTCGAGCTCTTGGCTCCAGCAGTATGTTGCCAATCCTTGCACAATGCAAATGATACTTGCCTCTTGGGCGGTGACTTCCTAGGCCGCGCGGCCTCCCAGCAGCCGGTACCTCCTCCCTTTCGGAGGGAAACATCATTGCAGGCTCTGATACCGTCCGTACAGGCCCTAGACTCAGGCTACTTGGACTGGTACCGGCCGACCTCTAGCCTACCGCTACTGGTCCTCTAAAAATGCCAACTTTTTGTCTCCTTCTGCTCGGCCTCGAGTACCCGACACTTCTACCACTACTTGAATGGTACTGGCCCACCTGCCACTTGAGTGTTTTTCCCGCTGCAACCCTCAAAGTCATGGCCACGGGTAAGTACCGGCCCTGCGGGCCCTCCCAACCAACAATTACCCTTGCAGGTCACACACACACTCAGGCCGACAAGCACTCAGACAGGCACGCAGACCAGTAGGCACACACACACACAGACTTAGAAATCACAGCAGAATGCGGGAATTTCAGCAAGGCATTTATTCCAGTGGCAAATCCCAGAAATCAGCAGTGTTCTCGGTCTGTGTTTTGGCGGGTCATTACATAGTGGTTTTTCAACTTTTCTGAATTTTTGGTTATGATAGTCCAGTTGGAAAATTTCCCTTTCTTTGTCCAGTTTTTCCCTTTTTCAAAATTATGCTCAAGGGAACGCTGGACCCTGTTTCCAGCTAAGCCGAAGCTGGGTAATGGCCTCAGTATACTGGGTTGAGATGTGGAGGGATTCCCGGCCTCCTTTTGCAGTTGAAAGCATAATTCGCTTTAAAAAAAAAGTAAACAAAAGTAATGAACTCTCCTCTCTCGCACGCTCCTGATGACGATGCCACAACTACTGACCAGCGAAGGTGATGACTCCCGATGCAGGTCGCTGCTGAAGTCCCAGCTATGGCGCCCAGGTAAGTCTCTCTCTCCCTTGTGGACATGGCCTCCTAACCTCTCCACTCCAGCTTACTCCTCTACTCCTCTAACGCTGCTCTATTGCAACTCTCCCCAAACTGACGCTGCTCCAGCAGCGTGATGCCCAACTGAGGCTACAGCCCGAATGTCCTCAAAGTGGAGGACTGGCCCAGCTATATACCGCTGGGCCTGACTGAGCAGTCGGTCTGCAATCAGGACCGCCGGATCTGATGTCTGATCAATGGTCCTGATTGCAGGCCAGGTTCAGATCTGTCCGTAGCTGGAACTGGACCAGGCATTCGTCTGTTTGTGCCTGGCCCAGCCCTCAGGACCCTGCTGCATCAGCAGGGTTGCCTGGACGTCCAGTAGGGACCCAGGCAGGCCGTTTTTGGTCAGAAAAGTCCGAACCGCAAATCTGAAAGTTCAGACTGGAACAGACAAAAATAGTCCAGACGAAACCCCCCAAAAATAATAAATGCCTAGGCTGGTCCCCGGGCCACCCGGCGACCTGGTTGTCGCCAGGGGTGGGGGCCGGGCCACCTGGGCGGTTGTCCTGCCCGGTTGGCCACCGGGCAACCCCAGCGCATTCTGGAAGGGGGGCCCGATTAGGCCGATTTCGACTCGGGGGGGCTTTTTGCCCCCACAGGAGGCCATCCAGACCAACGGAAAAAAAAAAGGGGACCGGTAGGCCCGACTTCTGGAATTCGAAATCGGGCCCGATCTGCGCCATCGATCTCCAAGATCGACGGCCCAGATGGGCCGCGATTTGAATTCCGTGAGGCGGGAACTACCGGCCCCCTTTTTTCTTCCCCCACACGAGTGTTCCCCGTTAACCTGCCCGACGCCTCCCTTTGGACGTGTTCGTACGACTCCAGCACCTCCGACGACTCCGCGAACACCTGCCAACGCCCGTCGACGCACGCCATCGCGCGTCACCACGCTGCCGCCCGCGAAAGGCTGCGATCATGGTCCCCTGCCGCCGCCAAGGTAAGTGGGCTAGTTGCAGATAGATAGATAGATTGATAGATAGAGATAGAGAGAGAGAGAGAGAGAGAGAGAGAGAGAGAGAGAGAGAGAGAGAGAGAGAGAGAGAGAGAGAGAGAGAGAGAGAGAGAG